AGAAAGCCAGAATGGGTAGAGTGCCAGAAAGGGCTCTATCAGAAAGTAGAGCCCGCTCTACACACAGAGCGCGCTCTACCCATATACAAAGAGGAGGACGTACACCAACTCCCGAGACCAGCGCCTTCCGCACACGCATCATACAGAACACCTCTAGCCGGCTTCGAGACTGCTGACGCGATCCAACGTTTGGTTGGCATAGCAATCGAGGTCGGCAGTCAAGTCCTGGCTGATATTAGAGCCGGGACAGACCCGATCACAGCAGTTATGAAGGCGCTGGCTAATCTACTGGCTCGGCACTACAGTGGAGGAGTCTAACCTGCGCCTCCTCTACTGGAACCCAGGTGGAATCCAGCAGAAGTTACAAGAACTCCGCACCGTCGCCCAGCAACAAGACGTACAGGTCATCTTGCTGGGAGAGACGAAGTTAAATCCGAGCACACGCAATTAAGCTGCCTAATTATCATATATATAGGAGGGACGAGGTCACTTCTCAGGGGGCCGCCTACAGAGGGACAGCGGTCCTAGTGAGAAGGGACATCGTCCATAAAGAACTTGACTTACCGGAATACCAAACGATGCGCTCTATCGGCATAAAAATGGAGGCGGCGGGCGAGGAACTTAGGATCTACGCAGCATACCGCCCGCCAGGGACTCCATTTTGCTCCTCAGACATCCGGACGGTAATGGAAGGCGAAACACCGACCATCATCGCCGGGGACCTAAACGCCAAACACCCGGCGTGGGGATCTAGACTGATCAGCCCGCCGGGTCATGCACTATTTGAAGACGCCGAAAGACACGGCTATGACGTTTTAGGTCCCGAAGAACCTACACATGTTCCAACGGATCCACGAAGTCGTCCGGATGTATTGGACATCGTGCTCGCTAGGAACGTCAACTACCCGATAGTGGTAGAGGTGCTGTACGACCTGGAATCGCGGCACCTCCCGATCTTAATTACCCTTGGCTTAAAGGCGGTGACTACGCCGCCCAGAACAGTGAAGACACGTGTCGACTGGAGGCTCTACCACAAACACCTGCAGGAGAGACCTCCAGCACACCACCACTTAAACACAGCGGACGACGTAGAGGCCGCAGCACGCAAATATGACCAAAGGCGATCCAGGAGGCCCTCAATGCTGCCTCTACGATCGTCCCGATATCCACAGAAGGGAGAGATCTGCCGCAAAACATCTGCGTGCAGATCAAGAGAAAAAGGGCCTTAAGGAGACTCTGGGCGCGTACTCGCTGCCCGAGAATCAAAACGAAACTGAACACCTTGTCGGAGGAACTGTCGGTTGCAGTCCAGGCCCACAGAGGAGATGCCTGGGAGCGGCGCATATGGAAGGCGGAAGAGCACAATGCGTTGCTCTACAAACTGAACCGGCAGCTAACAAAAGCCAGACCTCCCGTTTGCCCGCTGACCAACAACGCGGGCGAACGTCGTTACGATGCCAAGGGTAGAGCGGATATCCTAGTCGAGCACTTCGAGGAGCAATTTATGCCGAACCCAGCAAGTGCGGAGTTCTTGGAGCTTCATGCCCAAAAGGAGAGTCGCGTACAGGAGTTCCTGTCGTCGCCCGCGCCGCCTCTTGCAGGAGAGTGGTTCATCTCCCCCGCTGAACTGCAGCTGAGCAACCGCCTGCAACCGAGGAAGGCGCCGGGGCACGACGGGATTACCAACGCTGCACTCCGACAACTGCCCCATAGAGTCCTAGTAGAGCTTGGTCGACTCTACAATGGGATACTGCGGACATCCCACTTCCCGGAGGAATGGAAGAAAGGCAAAGTAATCGTCTTGCCGAAACCCGGGAAGGACAGGCGTAGAGCTGCCAGCTACAGGCCGATCACGCTGCTACCACACATAGCTAAACTGCTTGAAAGATTGCTGCTAAGACGCCTCCGCCCGTGCATCCAACTTCGGGCGGAGCAGCACGGATTCAGGAGGGGTCACTCTACAGCAACACAGCTGACCAGAGTGCTGCACCTGCTTGCGGCCGATTACAACCGTGGCCGCACTACGTTGGGCGTCTTCCTCGATATTGAGAAGGCGTTCGACAGGGTGTGGCACTCTGGATTACTTTTTAAATTGGAAGAACAGACCAGTGTCCCTCCTGCTATGTTGCGGCTAATGGCGTCTTTCCTGGCAGACAGGAAGTTCTACGTCTGCGTAGAGGGCGCCGAGTCCGCAACCAGAACCATCAGAGCCGGCGTTCCTCAGGGCAGCTGTCTGTCTCCAGTCCTGTACGCGGCTTATACCAACGACATCCCTACCCTGGCAGGCAAGCTGCAAGAATGGGAGGACGACGTGGAATTAGCGCTATATGCGGACGATAGCGCCTATTTCACCTCTTCCAGAAGAGCCCATATTGCCACTGCCAAAATGCAGCGCCTCCTGGACCTGTTGCCACCATGGCTAGACGAGTGGAGGATGGTCGTCAACGTTGGTAAGACGACCGCTCTGCTCACTCGCCGCCTCAGTAACCTACCACCTCAACTAATCCTCAATGGCCAGAAGATCGCGTACGAGAAGGCCGTGACCTACCTTGGGTGCCGGATCGACCGGGCGCTGCGCATGACTGCGCACGTCGACCTCGTCGTCCGTAGAGCACGATGTGCGCGGGCGATGCTACGTCCGGTCCTGGCATCCAAGCTACCACTTAACACCAAAGTGCGAGTATATAAAACCTACATTAGAGCCATTACCACCTACGCTGCTCCGGCCTGGTACGCGCTTCTGAGCGAGACTCTGAGGCGGCGACTGCAGGCCCAGCAAAATATGGCGTTAAGGACCATCGTCGGAGCGGGTCGCTACGTCCGGAATGACGTCATAGCGGCCAACCTGAAGATCGACACCATACACGAATTTGTGGCCCGGTTGGCGCGCGGACTGTTCGACCGTGCAGACAACGGGCCGCATATACACCTCAACAACTTTGCGCCGCTACACACTCGGCCACCGGACGGGCGACCCTATCCAAGAGAACTCCTCTCCATATGCGATTAGAGAGTCGAGTAACAACCCTCAATGCCGCTGAAAGGCCAACTCAGACTTTATACCTCTATAGATAACCTCCTTTTTTTCGTAGTCGGTTATGACTACGAAAAATTTACCGATTACGACAACCGTTTGACACCTACAATGCCATTAGAAGGCTCCCAGGACCGGTCCATAGTAGTGGACCGCGAGGACAGCACGGGTAATGGGGGCTATACCCCGAGGCCCGAAACCTCCATGTGCCTAAAAGACACATGAAGAAGACATCAACGTTGCAATTCGTTCGGGAATCGTTCGGGGAAGTTTCGGGAAAGTTCGGAGAAACTTCGGGAAAAGTGCAAGACCAGCAGTCAATAAGAAGAAGAAAGAAAAAGTGTAGGGAAGTGATAGGGAAAAGTAATTACTCTCTCACGGAACGGTTTGAAGATAATTGCTGTTTTATTCCCAAGAAATTCTCCCCTCAAATAATATAGTCCATATCGAAGAATTAAGGCGTTGGGACCGGGACGACTTCGGAAGACCCATAATCCCCGCCTGAACCTATTTTCTGAAAAGGAAGAGGTTATCGCCCTTGTGTGTTACTCCGTTGCGGAGATCACATACGTTGTTCCCGAACCCAACGTAAGCGTTATAGGAGGCCGGATCGAGAGAAGCCTCGATTCCTACCTTCTGTTTCTTAGTTTAACGTTTACGCACCCTGGTTTCTTTTCAATATGGCTAACATAATGCAATGATGATGATGTCAAAATAGTTAGGTACGGAGTTACCAGTCCAACATTACCGACCTAAAAGTTTTTTGGACGATTATTGATCGTTTATCAGCTTTAGAAAAGGTTCAAACTCTTGTATCTGGGTCGTAGTCCTACCGAAGATTTTGGCAGATCGAGACCTGCCTGGACATTTCACGCTATGATTAATAAGCCGCGCCGCCCTTTAATAATTTGGACGATAATTTTTCAGCCGTATAAGTTGTGGCCTAATTGACAAATTATACGTGGGCCATTTAGTAAGTTTTGCAAAACTAAAAAAAACTATTGATAAAGTTATTATCATAAAATATTTTGAAGAAATATTACACCAGCATTTCTATACAAATTTTCACGTGTCTGAAAAATTTTTCGTAACACTTTTTCCAGTCCATCTCAGACACTTTATCGAACGATGCTAGCACATCTTTCGGCACTAAAACTGTATCCCTTATAATTGTTTTTTATTTTTATTTTAGCGTTCTCGGTTTGAGCACTGAGTGCGCGGGCGCCTTGTCAAGGTGACTCATTAAGCCTAGTGTTTCTCCAAATTTGTAAAGGAATGAACTCCAAATACCCCATCAAAGTAATAAAAATATGGATGAAAATTTCCTGCGATTCTCGGTTGTTTCGCTTTGACAGACGATGTTGGTTCATTTTGAAAGAGCCAAACCGTCAACTGTGCTTCGTTTCTGAATCGTATAGATAAATTCAAGGTTGTTTTCATAATACATAATTGTATAATCCTTTAATTATATTGTAAATAAATTAACAAAAAAGTATCGCTGTGTTTTTGCTGGTTCTTCTCAAGACAAAGGTTTATATTAAACCAGTAACGGTTTTCTCGTAATCTGTATTGAAAAATCGGACAAACGCGAGTTGGAATCACGTATGAAGGGTTCCGTACTATTGCAAAACACGTTTCTAGTAGGGTAGCCCCCTTTAATTTTTGAATTATGTTAAGAGTAAGGGTAGATTACTAATAAGCGGTTAAACTCCCCCACTCGTACAAACGGTATGAAGAACTGCGCAGACGCAGAGATAAGTTAAAGTAGTCAATTAAAAGCGATAAAATCCGTAAATATATTTTTATCCAATGTGCAGTGTTCGCGTAAATTTAAGAAATCATTATGCTTCAACTCATTGCCAAACCACTGCACCACGAAGCCGTTAAATAAATGGTTGCGTCAAATGAAATGGTCAGCACTTTATGAAGTGCTCAATGAAACGTTAGCGCCTTGATACATACATACCTTGCAGATAATTTTGTTATTGACGATAGGTTCCTTGACTTCGCCGGTACAGAAGAATTTTCTCTTTTTCCTCATAATTACTGTACTCACTTCTAAGACTGTTTTTATACTATTGCCTAAAATAGAATCGTATTATCCAATCCTTAAGTAATTTATTATAATTTAGTGCTTAAATTTTTTACTGCTTATCAGAATAGATAAAAAATATGTTATGTTTAAACGTTTTCTTACCTTTTTCACCATTTATCGCTTCAAGTTCGCGCATGCCTCTTACTTGGGTTTCTCTACTGTTTTGTTGTTTCATGTAACTAGACAGTCTGTGCATTGCATCAACAAACTCGTCAATAGGGCCTAAAATAATACTCCATTTCTAATATTATCAACCAAAGTCTTCTATGAATACTACTAGACGGTATATGGGCTTTGTGGCCTTAATACGTTGCGCTCGTCCTGGGATTGGACTATGTGGCTTCAAAAAGGTTCAAATGAACAAAAAAAACTTGTGTAATTGCTTAATAAATGTTTTTAATATCATTGCACAACACAAATCATAATATAGAAAAAAAAGAAAATAAGTAGGCAAAACAAAAAAAAAATACTTTTGCAAGAAATCAAAAAGACAATCCTAAAAAACTATTTGGAATTTCGAAAATGCAATCGCAGAAATATCAAAGCACTGTTTGACTTCCAAACTTGTTTCGTAGTGTATTACCGACATAAGCAGCAGTTGAAAATGCTCGCTCAGTTTCCACGCAGGTTGGAGGAATAGACGATAGATACTTATACGCTGTTTCCAAGTGATATCCATGAACTCCTTCATTTTCGATCAGGCTCATTTCACGTCTAATACTATTTGCCGACTCCGATTAATGTTGTATCATTTTGGGATTTCATACTTTTATCAATTTCTAGCTGTAACTTTTCCTTTAATATTAATTGGGCTTGGGAGGTTTCTGACCTTAGCTCATCATCTGTTTGTAATCCTGACCTTTCTTATTCTTCCGTGTCATTTCGTCTTTTAACAATACTCTTTGTTTCCTTACTAAAACCCCTGGAAATAAGTTATGCCATTCCAAATCCGATAATAACTGATTTTCATTATCTTTTCGTGGCTTTTGTAAATAATTCAACTCACCAGTTAAATCATCACTTCGTTGTTACTTTATACGTTCCACTAAGGATATTTCCACTTTTTTGGCAAGTGCTGAATTTTTCCTAGATAGTTGTTTTATAAGACATTTCAAAGTGGCATCAGCTGTGCATTGATTAGCATCTCGCCGACAGATTGCTTCTACTGTAAATTTAATTGCGGTCAGCACATCAACGCTTTTATTTACTAATTCAAAATCAACATCTTCTTAACGAATTGGACGATTGAGATCTATAAGAGCTTTTTGAATGCAGTTTTTCAAAAGATAAAATCGCTCCAGCATTATAAAAAGACTATTTTACCTAGTTTTACAGCCCAAAAGAAGTGAAAGCTCTTTTCCATGTTCGATTTTTACATATTTTAGAAGTACTGTTTCATTTTTCAATGGCGATATTTGGAAATACACTACAACCTTGCGAATTTTCTTTATCAGATCATTAATTTTTTTATCTTTTATTAACTTTGGTATTGGTTCTCGCACTTCTCGCGCAAGATCATTTTGTGACATTGAGATTAAACCTAATTCTGAACAGTCTAAGCCTTCTAAATGGTCATAATCATCGCTGTCGTCCATATTATCAACAGCCACAACTGATTCATTTATATTATCATCGGAGGTACGGCTATCCTGCAAATCTTAATATATATATATATATAATATATATATATATATATATATATATATATATATATATATATTTTAACCGTTTCAGTTCCAACTTGAGAGATAGGATAGTTTTTTTGCCCATGAGTGACCCACAATTTTTTTGCGAATTTAAGGATTTTTAATAGGACATGACAAAGGGTCGTCGAAAAGGGCAGAACAACGTCTGCCTGGCAAGCTAGTAGTTATATATTTCATAAACACATCACAGACGGCCGAATTGACACCATGTGCGAGACACAATTGTTGTTCAGTGCAAACTAGCTGTCCCACCTTTATCTTAACATCCAGTCCATCGGTTACAATAGCCACGATATTATTTTCGAGGGAAATATCAAATTTACTTAGACACTTTCAATATATGAAGACAATTTTCAACTGTTATTGTGTTACTTCCACAAATAGGAACAAGTCCTAAGTTCCATTTTTTTATAATGAACGTTGACAGCCAAGTATCGTTTATTGGACGTTGAAGTCCACTCATCGAAAGAAAGACTACTTAAGTCTTTCACCTGCACTTTTCAAATGTTTCAATACTCAGTTACTTGCTTTCTGATTTTTTCACTGTTATTCATAACATGTTTTCGAATGGTGACGGCTAACTTTGATAAATCTGTGAATTTTGCTAAGAGTAATTTAATCAAATCATCTGAAGTTATGAATACACTGAATTTAAATCCATCTATTGCATTAATTCTTGCCAAGATATCGGCGTGGCTATCGTCGGCACTTTTAGTAAAATAATAATTTAACTTTCGCTTGGCTGGCGGTGTTGCTCAGATATTCAGAATCTTGACTTGTTGAAGCTATAAACTTGATATTTTGTTTTGATCACAAATATGTATTTAATCCCTTCGTTGATCCACTCAAAGTCCTGAGAATGGCTGGACATTGCTTACATTTAGCACTATCCCCGTCCTTCGCAACTAAAAATAACTCCACACTGACGTCGTATCACTGTCTTTTTTATGTTTAACACAGTCTCTCGCCATTTAACCTACATACTGTCACTGACAGAATAATAAACTAAAAAAAAATGATTGGCGTATTTATACTTACTTACAGGGAATCGCCGACGTTAAATACCACGCAACAATATTTATGATATGAGGTGATCGGGACATTCCCCTTAAGTACTTCACAATAACAACGCCAGTGGGTGTTTATACTCAGCCTTAATACTTCTTTAATGATCAACTCGCAATAATGACCGACGTTAATTTAGTTGGTGTATTATGTGGTGCATTATGTCTGCTCAGTATAAGTAGCTACTACGCACAATTTATGATTTTTATCATGAGGATCCCATATCACTCGTTCAATTTCATTAAATTCTGAATATTTAATTATTTCATCATTACTAAATATCATTAAAACACAGTACAGATTAATAAACGAATTGCCGTTTTTAAACGTAGTACCTTCTTTCTCGGTTGAACTTCGGAGGCAAGTGAGCGAGAATGTGAGCACTCGTTTCCGCTCGCGCTACCCGTCTTACGAATTAATGCGCGAAAAACCGACAATTAAGGCGCGGCAATCCTGCTCACTTCCCTGCTCACTTCCCTGCCCAAAAAGGCTTTTTTTATAGAAGAGGAGGCAAACGAGCATGCGGCTCACCTGATATTAAGTGACTACCGCCGCCCATGATCAACCGCAATACCAGGGGAATCGCAGGTGCGTTACCGGCCCTTTAAAAAGGACTAAACTCTTTTCTTGAAGGTCCCCAGGCCGTATCGGTCCGGAAAAATCGCCGGTGGTAAACTATTCCACAGAGAGGTTGCACGCGGAAGAAAACTCCTTTTGAAACGTACAGTGGTGGACCGCCAATCATCCAGATGGTGTGGATGGTATCGAGACGTTTGCCGCGTAGTGCGTTCACGAAATTTGGCGGCTGGGATTAATCCGAACAATTCCTCAGAGCACTACCCGTGGTATATACGAAAGAAAATGCAAAGAGATGCAACATCTCTTCGTAGCACCAGTGAATCGAGTCGATCGAAAAGCACTCAGTCGTTGATGATTCGAGCCGCTCTGTGCTGGATGCGGTCAAGTGGAAGGAGCTGGTACTCGGGAGCCCCAGCCTAGAGATGGGAACAGTATTTCATGTGCGGCCGAACCTGCGCCTTGTAAAGTAGCAGGCGGTGTGCCGGCATGAAGTATTGTCCCGCTCTGCTGAGCACGCCAAGCTTTTTGAGGCTGAGTGTAAATGGGGCATAAGAATATTCTATTGAATTATTATGGTCGCCACAACGGTCAGTTGAACTGATCATTCCAACTGATCAGTTCAAACTAGAACTGTTGATATTTTTTAAAATAGTGAATTTTCGATATACGGCAAGGCGCAACGGTAGTCCGTTACAAATGCAAACTAGACCTGTTTGTCGCATTCCCTGAAATCCCGAGATTAGCCAATTACAGTCCCAGGAATTTTAGGGCGAGAGAACGGCCGGGATCCTCTAGCTCTAGCACTAACTTACGGTCAATTCTCCGTGACTCCTTTCCTTTAATTTAGTCAATTGCAAGTGGCCGAGAATACTAGTTCTTTGTTTTATAAACCGCGAACTTTGTTTTCGACAATCTAACACTAATTTTGTTTAATGTCACAAAGAGAACGCTGTCATTATTAATTTTATGTGTACACTTTGTTGAAGTAATTTGAAGTTTCGTTCGGTTAAAATTGAAATATTGATAATATTTTGGAATGCTATGCAAGAAGATAAAAAATAATACAGAACTGGTCCATAAAAACTCTATAAAAGTCTATTCTGGAGTGAATTATTATGGCTTGGTACATCTACTAATTATTCATCATTCTTTGAAGATTCAGTCGTTACTATATTAATAAAACTTAACTGAATGTACAAGTGATGTGCTATGTACCTAATATTTAAATTATAAGTAATAATTAAATTATAATAATAAATTAGCAATTGATTGTGTCTTAAGTCGTTAAATTAATCTATAACATGATGAACTATGAACTAACCGTAAACAGTAATTAATAGATTTAGGTTTATTTCATGAGATTGCCATTTTGATTAATTGGCCTTTTTGAACTGTTAGATCTTTTTTAAATCTTATATTTGGTTTGACTTGGAATTCTAAATTCATTTAAATTCTATATTTAAGTAAGACATGTTGCTCCTTTTTCAAAATCAGTTGTTAAAGCTTTTTTTGCAACATTACTATATTTATAACCATGGACTCATTAGAAAATTAGTGTTATTGTTGAATATGAGTTTTTCGAACTATACGTATAACGAATACAAACCTAGCACTACTAGTTAACGGACTGTTCTTCATTGGTTCTATTATTTTTCGGTCAGGAATTTTTGATCTCACAAATGGAACTCGTGGCCGCTCGGAGTAGAAAGTTGATGATGATGAAATTAAGACAATAGTGGATAGGATTCGTCTAGAACTGCACTAGCGTCGGCTTTTGATGTAAGTGGCAATATAATAGATAATTTGTGGCAAGTCGGTAAAATAAGGAAGCTTGACAAATGGGTACTTTACAAACTGAGTGACATACACCTAGAGGCCTCCGGCCAAGCTTGCATCACTTTGGAAGATTGGCGTCGCATTAGCTCCTCAGTTTCAAGGCACTCGTTGCCTCAGTCAGTATCAGATACTTAGTGTCGACAGAATGTGTGAAAGTGAATAACGTGCAGTTTTGTGCAAAACTCGTGATTCCATCAATACCATCTGGATTATTGGCGGTCGACCACAAGTTTTGTTTTTCGCACAACTCTTTCGGACCGATACGACTTAGGGAACTAGGATAAAATCATACTCTCTTTTAAAAGACCGTCAAAGCATCTGCAATTCCCTGGTGTTGCAGTTGTTCGTGGGCGGCGGTAGTCACTTACCATCAGGGGAGCCGCATGCTCATTTGTCTCTTGTATATTAATATAATATGGCGCTATTCATTTATGAGAATTGGATGAAAACAATTAAACTACACTATTTATGCTATTAAAGTATACCTGTCCCAAAACTTCCGCCGTCTAAATAGTTTAAAAATTGGTAAAATCTTAAGGCTTCATCCGATTCGATTTCATCCATAACTGGTCTCTGTAAAAATTCATATTTTACTTGAATGCGTTAATATTTTAAACAGATTTGTAATTCACAGTAATCTTACGAATTTTCCGCTCCACGCTCCCACGTCAGAGTACAGTGAATTGATTCTACTTGGCATCCAATCTAAAGACGAACGGGCGACTAACACAGGATGCTGAAATAAAAATCGTATCATGTTAACTTATATCATTGTCAAAAATATTTGCATGTAAATATCGGTCATAATCATAGTCGGATGCGGATGGCTCAGGAGCGTGCTGTGCGGCGTTCCGGGGTGAGGCCTATGTGGGGCTGTAATAATAATAATAATAATAATGTAAATATCGCCGGGAATTGACAATGTAACAAAATCTGCTACCCTATTCTATTCCATAGGTGTCGTATAAGACGACAGATGGAAATGAAACGGGGGGTGGGATACAGCAGCTTCCTGATAACAACTTAATATAATAAAAACACCCCGATTACCTTTACAGCGAAAACGCTTGCCAAGCGAGTCAAATATCCCTCCTAGGAGGCAAATACCCCCAATCAGTGGAGGAGCCAATGTTCAGCAGTGGCAAACTTTTGATAGGCCGTAATGAAAAACAATTAAATTTTAAAGGTACCAGTGAAGCAATTTTTGAGTAACTGTAATCCAAAAATAAAATAGTAAAATAGAATAAAATTATAAGCGCCATCGTTTTTAACTTGAAAATAAAAACAGAATGAATGCACAGTACTTGTTGGTAAGAAAAAAAAATCGAATCAATTAATTGGTCCTTGTTAGAATGCATTGCTTTATGTAATAATGTCGCCTTTTAATTGGCTTAACGACTGATAAAAAACAACTAAAAAAGCTTTTAAAATGTAATCAGAAAATATAAAAAAAAATATATACTTGCTGTACCCCGCGGTTTCACCCGCGTATATCACGCGTCTCTCATTTACCTCACCTCGCTCATTTAGTTCAATCATTTTAGCTAAAAAATTAGCAAAATTAATGGAGTACTTTTATCTATCGGCATATACACGTTATACAGAAAATTTAAATTTTATCCACTCACCCTCCCCTCCCCCTATAATTTAGCTTTCTATTGGTAAAAATTTATTAAAATCGGTCGAGTAGTTTCGGACTTATTTGGTACAAACTAACAAAAACATCTTTCCTCTTTATAATATTATATATATAAGTATAGATAATGATTTTTTTTATTATTTTTTACGTATCTTTTTTTTTTGTTCTTTTTTAATATTTGATTATTTCATTTTTATTTCTAATATCACACACCAGTGTCACCCGCATCGCATGGTGCTGGCAGTGTACGCGATATAAGGATTTTTCGACGTTACTATTGAATATTTTAACATGGAAAAGTAGTTATTGTGAGATAGCTATAATAGTTAGACATATGGTATTGCAGACTTTTATGTAGATATTGATGTCCACCATAAAACTGTAGCACATCACTTTGCTCTATTGTCAATAGTTTCCGCAGCGTACGCGATATAAGGTTTTTTTTGGTATTTTTTTCACACCTTGGGTTACATTAACGAAGTTTTCATACGGATCCCATTAATTTTTTGAAAACGTTCTATAGCCTATGTTCATCAGGAATAATGAAGGGTTCTAATAGTGAAAGAATTTTTCAAATCGGTTCAGTAGTTTCAGAGCCTATTCAATTCAAACAAACAAACAAACAAATCTTTCCTCTTTATATTATTAGTGTAGATATATACTGTATATATATATATATATATATATATATATATATATATATATATATATATGTCGTCCGGTCACGGACTAGCGATATTTTAGGTACTTATAATACAGCTATTTTAATATAAAAATACACTACACACTGAAGTCTAATCCCCTCCCCCTCTATTTGGCAGCCATTTTGTTTTTTCTTGAGATATTCTCTACGCGTTTACGAAAAAAGTCATATCTCTCAAAGTTTTAGTCGTAATGAGATAAAAATTAACTCATTCGGAGGCCAATAATATTGTTTATCGTTTACATTATCAAAATTTTTGTTGACATACTTGTAACTTTGAAGAAAAAAAATTTAACTTCAAATAAATATCAAAAAAATATGCTAATCGGCAAATTATTGTAAATTACTGCGAGGAGTAATAGTAGTCTGAGATTACTTATGATCTTCGTTGAATTAGAGATGATGAATTAGAGACCTGTATATATATATATATATATATATATATATATATATATATATATATACTTTCACGGTAAATGTTGATCCAGTGAGAAGTTAGAACAATTGTTTATCCACCTATTTGACGTGTTTGCTCAGCTCCCCGTCACACAAACTGATATACTTTGATCCATCCTTGATGCGCGTGTGACGTCGGTGGACCTGCACTAACAGGTTTTCCAATATACTCGTCAGCGATTTGACCAACAATTGTTGATCTATCAACGGTCGAAAAAATCATACTGAATATGATTTTTTAGATCCAGAGTATATTTAATTTATATGCGACATTTACTTAGACTAAGTGGATCCGGAGCCATAATTAACGAATAGGTACTCGAACACGAAGCGGCAACGTCGCGTTCTGTGTGTGACAGAGAACCCAGTAGGCTACTTCGTTATAGTAATAAGGTAAGAAAATGCGTTATCTGTTGATTTTGTGGATCAAAGTTTGGCAGGTTTTATTGTGGGAAGACGTTTGCTCGAGTTTTTGTTATCGTGTGAGTGAATTTGTGTTATTTTATTAATTTGTCATAGATCAGTTAGAAGATGATGGATAGTACTTTATTACAAACTAATTTATCACTCAAGTAGTGTGTGTGTGTGTGTGTGTGTGTGTGTGTGTTTATGGGTGGGGGGTGCCATTTAGTGCGCGCGCGTGTGTATGTGTGTGTGTGTGTGTGTGTTTTTTATGCGAGTTTGTGTGCGCGCGTGCGTGTGTGTATGTGCGTTCATGTGTGTTCCCGTAAACGCATGTGCGTGCGAGTGTGTGTGTGTGTGTGTCTGAGTGTGTGCGTGTGTGTGCGTGCGTGTGCATGCGTGTGGGTGTATGTCGGTGTCAGTATGTGTGCACGCGCGCGCGTGAAGGCGGAGGATAGGAATTTGTGGTGATGTCGGAGATAGTGGAAACGGGGAGAGCGGGGTCAGAAGTGGGTCGATCTTAGAGTGTGTTGGAGTCGGAAAGAATAGTGACGGTGCGTGGTGGTGGCGGCGGAGGGAGAGGAGTTTATTGTTGCGGCGGTGGAAGCAGAGTTTATGGTGGAAGCGAAGGTAGCGGAAGTGGACAACGAAGGCTTAGAGAGGGGTGCGATGGTAGATGTGGAGGCGTAGGTGGCAGAGGTGGTGGTGGTGGGTGGGTACCGCGTGAGGGCAAGTGAGGCTCACATAAAGGACAGTTGGTTACAGTGAAAAACAGTGTGGCTGGTAAGTAGATATCGATACTGCCCATAAAGATGTTACTATGAGGTTATTCATTTTTCCGAATATCAGCTTGGATACCTATTGGTACTAGAGACAAAGTGAAAAGAACTTTTGTTTTGTGACACTTTCATCATAACTAATAAAACAAACCCAAACTCGGCATACCTAGTTCTACTAGTCCAGGTGTTACAATATTAGTTACCGAGGCACCTTCAGGTCACTTCAGCAAGTCCGGAGGTAAGAACTCATCATAACTAACAAAACGAGCCCAAACTCAGCACACCCAGTTCTACTAGTCCAGGAGTTCTAGGAGTAATCCCGAATTACATTTTGAGGTCAATCCATCAAGACCGGAGGTAAGGTCTCATGATAATATCTCATGTAATAGTTCGATTTTATACCTATCAATTTCGTAAACGCGTCCTTAAAAATCTTGATTATGAAGATGTAGAAAACATGTTAACTGGCTTATGGTAAACACACACACACACACACAATGATATATTCCGATGATATCCCGGACGTCAGTCTAAGCGAGATTAGAATGGCTCTCCAGCACCTTAAAAACGGCAGGGCCCCAGGCGAGGATGGAATTACAGCGGAGCTTCTGAAAGCGGGTGGAACACCGGTACTTGAAGTCCTTCAGAAGCTCTTCAATTCCGTCCTCCATGGTGGCACTACTCCAGAGGCGTGGAGCAGAAGTGCGGTGGTCTTGTTCTTTAAGAAAGGCGACAACGCTCTCTTGAAGAACTACAGACCGATTTCCCTTCTGAGCCGCGTCTACGTGCTGTTTTCGAGAGTCATTACGAATCGTCTCGCACGCAGACTTGACGACTTCCAGCCTCCCGAACAAGCCGGTTTCCGAAAAGGCTTCAGTACCATAGACCACACACATACCCTGCGGCAGATTGTACAGAAGACTGAAGAGTACAATTTGCCACTTTGCCTGGCGTATGTGGACTATGAGAAAGCCTTTGATTCCGTCGAAATTTGGGCGGTGCTGCAGTCCCTTCAGCGGTGCCAAGTTGACTGTCGGTATATCGAAGTGCTGAAGTGTTTGTACAGTAGGGCTACGATGTCTATCCGAGTACAGAACCAGAGCTCGAAACCTATCCAACTGCAGAGAGGTGTAAGACAGGGTGACGTTATATCCCCGAAACTCTTCACCGCTGCTTTGGAAGACGTTTTCAAGCTACTGGACTGGAAAGGATACGGTATTAACATCAATGGCGAGTACATCACTCACCTTCGATTTGCCGACGATATAGTCCTTATGGCAGAATCGCTGGAGGACTTAAGCACTATGCTCAATGACCTCAATAGTGCCTCCCAACGGATAGGTCTTAAGATGAACATGGACAAAACAAAGATCATGTTTAATGTCCATGTCACACCTATGCCGGTAGTTGTTGGGAGCACTATGCTCGAAGTTGTTGACGAGTACGTTTACCTGGGACAAATAGTCCGACTAGGTAAGTCCAACTTCGACCGAGAGGTCAATCGACGGACTCAACTCGGCTGGGCAGCGTTCGGGAAATTACGACACATCTTCTCGTCAGGTATACCTCAATCTCTGAAAACTAAAGTGTACAACCAGTGCGTGTTGCCAGTGATGACTTACGGATCAGAGACGTGGTCCTTCACTGCTGGCCGTATGAGGACGCTCAAGGTCGCTCAGCGAGCTATGGAGAGGGCTATGCTCGGAGTTTCTCTGCGTGATAGACTCAGAAATGAGGATATCCGCAGTAAAACCAGAGTGACCGACATAGCCCAACGGATTAGTAAGCTGAAGTGGCAATGGGCCGGCCATATAGCTCGAAGAACCGATAACCGATGGGGAAGAAAGGTTCTCGAGTGGCAGCCTCGTACCGGTAGGCGTAGTGTAGGGCGACCCCCACTAGATGGAGTGACGACCTGGTAAGATATGCAGGAAGTCGATGGATGCAGGTGGCTCAGGACCGTGCTTTGTGGCATTACTTGGGGGAGGCCTATGTTCAGCAGTGGACTTGTGAAGGGCTGTGATGATGATGATGATGATGACACACACACAAACACGCAAGCGCGCGCGTAAACAAGCACACATGCGCACACGTACAAACGCATACACACTCACACACGCGCACTCTGCTGCACACACACGCACACACACAAACAACAGTACACACACGCACACATGCACACACGTACACATGCACACACGTACACATGCATAAATGCACACGCACACGCATTCACACACATACACACACACACACACACACACGCGCGCGCGCGTACACATACGCACACGCACACATATGCACACACACAAACACACACAAACACACACACGCGCACATGCACACAGCGCACACGCACACCATTCACACACACACACACACACACACACACACAAACACGCACTCAGACGAATACCTTAGGTCGCCGTTGCCCCCACTTCCGCTACAAGAAGGGGCGTTGTAGAGTTATTCGTTAATAAAAATTCGTTTATTTCGACCACAATGATCATAGATGTTAGTAATAATACAAATCTTAAAACTAATTTTAGTAAAACTTAGAACTATTTACCTAATTTTAAAACTATATCTAAGACAGGCCCGATTAGTCAGCACGTGTACCATATGACAATTGTTCAGGTACTGACCTCAAACCTGTCAGAAAATGCCCTCAGGATACCATTGGAACTGACCCGCACCCTGCGCACCAGGGATGTGCATCATTTACGCATGGTGGTGTGGAAACAATCCACACGCGCATCCGCGAACATGCCCGGCACATTACAATAACGAGGCAGACCCAACAGCACCCTGAATGCATTATTGTATTGAACACGCATTTAATCTGTAGCTTGTAACGCCAAAGATACGAAACGGCAACGTCGCGGCTGCATTCAGCCCATCCGATCGTTTATCTTATCGTTTACTGTGCTCTGATTGGCTCATTTAAATCGGATCAACATTTTCCGTAACCATCGCAAGGTGGATTTGTATATCGGATCAACTTCGGTAAACGCCAGCAAACAGTCTCGTGAGTGCACATGTTGATCCGGTCGGAGCCACATTAGTTACCAGAAATGCATATTGGATCAACAAAAGCGCCGGATCAACATGCGTTTTCGGATCAACAAAGTGCTCGCGTGAAGTCGCGTCTGATCAACATTTACATATATATTATTTATATATGTAAAGGAGTTAAATAAAACAACGGCGATTTTGTGTAGTAGTGGTGTTAGATAATTCACTGCGTCGTAAGAAGCGACAAAGGTAATCAAACGGTTAATGGATAGCAGCGTCTTCCTGATAACAACTAGAAAATAGAAAAAACTGTGGCTGTGAACGTTTCTGCCAAGCGTGGCAGCTGTGGCAGGTAACCCCCCTATGAGGCAATCTTTTTCTATGTGCTGCAGTTAAACTGTATTGGTTGTAATCTATACATATAATAAATCTGTAGAGAAATAGATCCTGTAATTCTATTCTATTCTACCTAGTTTATTGTATTCTTGAATAAACCAGTCAAGGGGACAAAGTAAAAGATACTGAAGTCAAATTAGAGGTTTTTAGAATTTTTGTCTGTCTATCTGTTTGTCTTTCTGTCTGTCTGTAGGTGTATTCAATATTCACACAGAAAATACGGGACCGATATCCATGAAATTTGCTATATAGGTTGTTAGTAACCCGGGGCCACTTATAGATTATTTTTTATCCGATTACGGAACTTAAGAAATAAGGTAAAATATTTTCCTTCCTTTAAATGTGAATTTTCTGTTAAATATGATTATGTTAGTTACAAGTACCTATGCAGGATGACTATGTATACAGAATGATGTATTTTTCAAATAAATACCATCTTTATAAATAAAGTTTCTTAAGTATTAGTTTCAACCTTTGGTTAATAGTTTGAAACTACGTCGACGATCTACATTTTAGTTTTAAAAAAATACCACCCGTTATCAAAGTGAGATAAAGTAAATTTTAGCCTTCACAATGAGATTTATAAAATAAATTGAGATTTAAATAATAAAGAGATTATTGAATACTTATTCGTTTAGCATCAAAACTTTAAATAGGTATCTAGACCGGTGGGCGTGCTCAGCAGAGCGGCACAATATTTGATGCCGGCTCAGCGCTTGCAACTTTACAAGGCGCAGTTTCGGCCGCACATGGAATACTGTTCCCATCTCTGGACCGGGGCTCCCCAGTACCAGCTCCTTCCATATGATCGCATCCAGCGCAAAGCTGTTTGAATCGTTGGCGACTGAGCCCTTACCGATTGGCTTGACTCACTGCCACTGCGAAGAGATGTTGCATCTCTTTGCGTGTTTTATCGCATATACCACGGCGAGTGCTCTGAGGAATTGTTCGGACTAATTCCAGCCACACAATTTAACCATCGCAGATCGCAACAAAATTCGCGATACCATCCATACTATCTCGATGACTGGCGGTCCACCACCGTGAGATTTAAAAGTGCATTTGCTACTGTAATCACTTACCATCAGGTGAGCCGTATGCACGTCTGCGTAACATATATCCCCTCTCCTATAAAAAAAGCGCATGGTCGAAATCTCATTTTAAGATTTTTATGCGAGATTGCAACATAATACTCCAATGTAACCGAAGTTATTTATTTAAAAAATCTTATTTATCAATCGGAATTTGGTGGAAATCCATACATATAATAAAAATGTAAACCTCACATGTCTGTACATTTTATAGTTTTGTAACAAAATTGATTAAGAGGGACTTAAAATAAGTAACTGAATACATTTTTATCATTTTTAGAAGTGTCTGTTAGTCTGTCTGTTTGTTTTTTAACGTATCATGAATAAAGTACTGATTTATATCAAAATACTCGTTAAAAATTGTGAAGCATATCTTCGTTTTAAATTTAGTCTTTTTTTAATTAAAATCGGTTCATTCTATCAAAAGCTATGATTAAAATTCTGAAGTATGCATAAGAAATATAGGAATACGAATTTGTTCAATAGCGGCGTCGAGTAATCAAGGGCATTTATGGAATTAAATAATGTAAAATAGTGTTCACAATGATATAATTGCATCTAAACGCAGTTAACAAAGTAATAAAGAATAACGTAATAAATATTTGTAAAAAAATTATAAATCCTAATCCTATCTTAGTTAAAAAAGTACAATAGTTAGCCAATGATTATTTATTAAATTTCAAGGTGTGCTTATAATTTTTTTCTTAACCTATTTACTTTAACTATAAACTAACATATTTTTTGGTTTCGGCAAAGAGCATATCAGTCATATGCAAGCTTGGCAGTATACATATTATACTTCCCTTTTGCACTTCCAAAAGTGTTAAAATTTACGTAGTCGTGAAATTGAAAAATTACGTTACCCGATTTTGAGTTTTTTTTATATTATTCCTATCCATTCTTTTCTAAATATCATATAATTTTTATTTTACTTATACAGGATGTTAGTGTAAACCAGTTTAAAAAAAAAAAAAAAAAACGTTCTATAAGTGAAACCAAACCACTGGTTTCAAGGACAACGGTGTTTACACTAACGCCCTGTATATTATAATATACAGCCAATATAATATGGTCCACGGCTGAGTATATGCATTCAATGAAATTTGTAATAAAAGGATATCATTGTAGGCATTCCCATACTTCTTGGAGCGGGGAAGAGCCCATAGTGCCGTCCTGATGCACTTGTTCTCTTTAGTTTAAAATTTGGAATTAGTAAAGTGCATATTACTAATTTATTTTTTATTTGCTTAGTAGTTAATAGATACTTAAAATTAGACTAAATTCTTATTTTATATGAGAAGGTTTTTATTTGTTTCGTTTACAAATAGCAATTACATTAGTAGTATAATTGTAGCGAGAATGGGTCGGCTCGACCCGGGAAGGACTATGCTCTCACGGAATACCAGCCTGTAATGTTTCGTATGGTGAGTGTAGAGAACCGGAGACCCTTTTTTACTGGAAACGAGGCATTCCATCTTAGTCCTCACGGGTGACAACGCATCTGCAATTTGATTAGTAATCGAACGTAGATGTAGATATCTATGAGCCACAGCAACCACTCACCATCAGGTGGACTGTGTGCTCGTTTGTCACCCTATCTTATATAAAAAATCATTTATAAAATTTTATTTATATTGGATATAGTTAAAACGAACAGAATAAAATTTAATTTGCCGTAAAGTTAGTTTACCGACAGATGACACTGTTCAATGTGTATCTACTATAATATACTGATAATATACTCTTTATATACTGAGTCATAGATACTAAACTACACTGAGTGACTACCTAAAGCGCTTGAAGTAGAAATCTAAAATTTGGACTGTAGGTAGCCTTTTATGTACCTTTAGGTATAGGTACCTTTTATGAAATCATTTTGGAAAATTAGGATAATAATTGGATATCAAATATGAACTCATCGCTGGATTGGATTGGATAATATTATAGTATATACTTTGTAATACTTATGAGATAAGGCTAAGTAGCAATTATTGATACCCCAATGGTTAATTTTCCCATCATGATAATGACAAATTATTTCCTGTTGCCGAAAATAGTCTTTAATATTTTCAACCTTGGTCTTAGTTAATACAAGATCCAATGATGTACTTTTAAGCTGATCACGTAATAATTTTGTACTTAGAAATAATTTTGTACATTCCAAAGGGTGCAACAATTACTAAAGCTGCTTATACCCTTGGGTTAACATACTCTTTTACAGCATTAATTTAATCCGTTTCGAGATTCTTCTCCGAAAGCTGATGCGTGAGTTGGTTTCGAAGGCCTTTTTTCTAGTACCTTTTTCTATCTTTGACGGTGGAAAAATGGAATTGTCTGTGAAATTTGAGAGGGATTGTCTGTTATTAGAATTTCCAAAATTGCATGTTCGTTACTGGTGTGCCCACACTATGGCAAGAAGC